TGTTGAAACTTGTACTAACCTAATTCGGTCTATGCCAGAAAGGATTCATGATGTTATTAAGGCTCGGGGAGGGTATATAAGGTGGTAATTGTATCAAATTTAAAATATATTTTAAAAAAGAATAATGTTCCGATGTATTTTTTAATCTTATTTGAGTTGTGTTAAAAACGAAAATAAATAATTCAACAGCATTATCCGAATAATTATATACTTTATAAAATAATTTATTTATTAATTTAATTCTAAATTTTAGTATTAGGAAATTATAATATTAATAATAAAAATAACAAAAAAAAAATTTATTTATTTCCGTAATTACAAGAAATATTTCGTTTTAATGAAAATTATTTTTTTGTTGCATAATTTATGATCGCCACTGTATATTATACTTAGTTGTGATATTATTGCTCAAAATAATTATCATATATTTCATCTGTCTGGAACAACAAAAAAAAAAAAATGGATCGGTAAACCATTATCCAATATACTTTGAAATGCTTGGAGGCCGTTTACCTATATAATATAAATATAATCAGTTTTTAATAATAATTGATACGAAATTAATAAAAACGAATATTACCTTATTACTTTAATATTATGTTTTTTGCGTTTTTTGCGACTGTCATTTGATTTAATAATGACTACATCTATTATAATTCGGTGTAAGAGCATCAAAAGCTTCAAGATTATTCTTGTCGGGAAAATTATATTCCATCGAAGTTATTTTATCAATATTCTGAAATACATTTTGTTTCAGCCCTTGGAGTTGTAATGTTTCGTAGTTATCAGTCCTTAAGTTACGTACTTTAAAATATTCCACCTTTTCGCAATAAATCGTGAGAAACCATACTAATAATTTAAAATTTTCTAAATTTGAAATTTTTTTTTTTTATTTTTTATTTCTGTCATAGGAAAATTTGCAGAGCAGGAAAAACTTTTATGCCGCTTCGAAAAAAATGAAAAATATTAGTCTAAAAAATTTATATGTTTTTTACCTAATTAGATTAAAAAAAAAATTTTTTTAGTTTATAATTTAAAATATTTATCTTGCAAATTTTTAATATTTATCGTAACATTAAAGTGCTGTGCCTCAAATACTGCGGTAACATCTTCATAGACACATCAAGAATATTTTTAGTTGAAAAAAAAGGTTTATTTTTTTTAAAATCTTTATTTAAATAATAATAATAATAATGTCTGATAGTGACAATAAAGATAAAAGTTTAATAGAAATGCCAAAAAAAAATTTATTTCCACCAAACAAAAATAACAATAATGCTTAGCTGCCTAAAATAGGTATATTACGGTTAGATGATTTCTAAAAAAAAATTATTTCATTAATTCACAGAGCCATTTTCGGATGTTAAGAAGGTAATTCCATGTATAGTGCTCCGTAAGGGTCGAGTCGGGTCGGGTTTGAAGCAAACTCGAACTCGAACCCGTTAATATTTACAGGACTCGAATTCGAACCAACCCGATTATTGTTTAACTCGTATTCGACTCGAATTTTAAGGTAATATTCATACCGAAAGTAAAAAAATTTTTTTAT